TGTCCCTAAAGTTTCTCCCTTCAAAATCCCTTCAAGATTTCTACCTACTTTCTCTTATGGTAGATTTAGTGTTACTGTTTCAGTATTTAGATCTTCAGTCCATTTTTACTTTAGTTTAGTACATGGGGAGAGACATAGGCCTAGTTTTAATTTTAGACACATGGAAAGCCAGTTTTTCCAGCACTGTTTATAATAAAGAGGCTGTCTTTCTGCCAGTGAGCATCTTTAACCAAGATATGGTGGATAAATGCATTTGTAGTTGTGTCTGCATCTTTTATTCTCTTACAGTGATCCTCAGGTGTTTTGTTTTTGTAGTTCAATGTTGAATTTATTATAGTAGACTAGTTGTATAATTTCATGTAAGGGATTGTGTTGCCCATGAATTTTCTTTGTTTCCTGGATATGTGTATGCTCTTGTAGGTCTCTTCTGGTTCCAAATAAATTTTATTGATGTTTTGTCTAGTTCTGTGACATATGCAAATATTATTTTGATTGCAGTTACATTAAATTAGTATAACAGTATGGCCATTTTGGAGCATAGTGTTTTCATTTGGCATATCCGTTATCTGATATCTTCTTGGATCTCCTTTTTCACAGAATTGTGTATACCTATTTTACTTCCTTGGTGGGTTTCCCTTATTTCTCCCTCAAAGAATTTGTTGTGTACAGAAATGCTATTGATTTTTGAGTATTGACCTTGTATGCAGGTACACTACTGAATTTGGTTTTTAAATCTCAAAGAGTTTTAGTTGAATTCCTGGCATCTTCTAGTTAAACTATAATCTCTTCTGCAAATAGTAAAAATTAAACTTTTTCCTTTCCTATTCTTATTCCTTTTGTTTCTGTTTTATAACTACTTCCACTGATATTTCCAGCACTCTACTGAATATGAGTTGTAATAGTGAACACTCTTGTTTCATTTCTGGATTTATAGTGAAAGCTTTGAGGTTTTGACAGTTAAGTATGATATTGGCTGCTGGTGTGTCCTAGATGGCTTTTATTTGATTAAAGACCATCTTTTCCAATTTTCTGTAGGGTATTTATCTTGAATGGGTGTGGGACTTTGTTAAATGTATTTTCTGCATCTATTGAGATGATCATGTGATTTTTGTCCTTTGTTCTGTTGATATGGTGTATTGCATTTAATGGTTTGCACATGCTGAATGAACCCTGCATACCTGGAATGAATCCTGCTTGGTCATGATGTATAATCTTGATGATTTCCTGCATTCTGTTTACCAGTATCTAGAGGATTTTTGCATCTATGATCATTAGGGAGTTAAGCCTGTGTAGTTTTCTTGTTTGGTTGACTGATTCTCTGATTTTGGATCAGAGGAATATTTGCTTCCAGGAATGAGCTTGGAAGTAAGTATTACTTCCATTTTTATTTCACTGAGGAGCTGGTAGAGCTCTGACTTTATATGTTTTCTGAATTTCTTGTGGAACTCTGCTGTGTATGTATACATCGGGTTCTGGGCTTTTCTTCATTGGTAGGAGTTTTTAAATTCAAATTCAATTTAATTAACTAATGTTGGGCTATTTAGAATGTTTATGCCTTCATTTAGCTTTGGTAGTTCATATGTATCTAGGAATCTGCCCACTCATTGTGTTTTCCATTTTGTAAGATGGTGGGTCACTGGAACAAAGTCTTTATCTAGAGCCCTTCCTGAGTTTTATTAATTTCCTTGAGAAGAGTGGCTCAGAGATGAGTGACAGGAAGAGTGGAGGGAAATACATGACTATCTTGAGCTGAGCTAGGTAGGAGGTCTGAGATCATCTCTGCCATATGCAGAGGGCAAGAAATGCAGAGAGAGTAATTTGCATAGCGCCTCTGAAGTAGTTTCTAATAATTAGAGGTCCCTGCTTCAGTTCTAATGTACAATCATTTTTGCCCTGGGAAGTTATAGCCTCTCTTTTGAGACTTGCTCTCAGCTGACAGCATGGTTCTCCATCTCACTGGGATCAATCACATATTTGGGGAGTCACTGAGCAGCGTAACACTGACCTGTCACTTTGCTTCAGAGATTTCATGTTAGCTCCTCAGGTAATCCAATGTACATTGCTTAAAGCCAATTGAAAGGACAAAGAAATAATCTAGTGAGCTTTGTACATACACAGAGAAAGGGCCAAGTTTATCTAAAATGGAGTTAGTTGCTCTTCAGTTTGCTGCCCTCTGACAGTTTGCTTTCCTCCTGTTCCTAGAAGTGCTACCATTGTATGGACCTAGAATCTTCATCGGGTTAGGTGGTTGTCCCCCTATGTATCAATAATGTGAACATACAGTGACAGATGTGGAATCCCATCATCAGCAAAAACAAGTAGATCCTACAGTATAAAAACAAGACACAAGCAGGTCTGCAAACCTCGAAGCAAATCTTGCTTCAAATCAGTGATCCGATGAGTTACTTCAAGTCAGTATCGTGGGAAGTACCCTGAGCTTAGAAGAGTTTTGTTTAAAGTCTGTCATCTGGGCTCCAGTCAGTCAGATAGTGTATAATCTTTGTTGTCCTTCTGGCTCAGTAAGCAGAATATGGGCAGCCTTGCAGCAGTGAAGTAAAGTTTAGGCTGAATGAAGGGTCAGCTCGGATCTGTTGACAGAAACTAGAATCCTCCTTAACAGGGAGCTAAGTTAGAGCTCACAAAGTGTTACCGAGTGACTCCCAAGTGACTCGTGCTGGCTCACTCTGTGGCACCTACTGATTGATTGCATGGGAAGGAGATGGCAGATCTCAGTCCCCAAGAAAGTGATTGTGCAGGACCAAATGGTCAGACACTATTAGTATGTATTTGTTGGATCCATACACTTTCATTGAAAATGACCAGAACCAACTTTGGCAGGATTTGGGCCATACTGCATCCATTGAGCAATCCTTGTTCCTGTAGGTCTACGCTCTCAGGTGCATGTTAGTTCTGTTCTTACCCTCAGGGCTGAGGCTTCTCCCAGGGACTCAGAACCCTGTCCTGTACGAGAAAAGTGATTTTACTGTGGCCAGAGCCCTGAGTTTCCCAGCTCACTGCCTGCAGTGTCTCCTCTCACCATGTTTGCTGTGGACGGAAGAGTTGAGGGGAGACACCTAATTTAGATGAAGTTTCTGTGTGGGTGAGACTGGACTGTGTTCTGTGTCAATTTTTCTCCCAGCATCACAGTAAATATTATAGTTTATATCTACAATGTCATTAAATGTCTCCTAAGTATGAAAATTGAATGGTTTCTGTGGGCCCTGTCTCAGTGGATGCAGTGACAGTTGAGTGCGGTATCAGAATGTGCTCCTAGCAGGTGGAGATTTTGGAGATGGGTTAATAGAGCCATGACCTAGAAATGTGTACTCCTGTCTGTTGTAGTTCCACCTCTTCTTTCTAGCTGCCATGGTTTGACTTGCTTTTCCTCCATTCCCACCTTGTCAAGCCACCCCAAACATGGAAAAAAGAACAAAAACTGAAAGATTGAGCAACCTAAACCCTACTTCTTTCTGTTGAGTTTGATGGGTTTGTTGTCCAAGGTACAGGAAAGTGGCTAAGACATCTGCTTATCCTAAATTTGTTGAAAGTTGAAGTATGAGATCTTAGACACCAGCTATATTGTCTACTCTGGGCTTCATTTTACTAATAGTCTTTTCCAATATTACCAGCTACTTCCACATGACCTTAAAGTCATTAAAATGTAATTACAAATCATAAAAATTGCCTGTAATGAAAATCATTATTGGCATCCTTGTCAATCATACTAAAACTCCTTTATTATATCAGAGCATTGCAATAAATGAATAAACTAGCAAGTAATAAGCTCTTATAATTTATAATGCAAAAGTTTGATGATGTGTTTCCAATTTAAATAAGGAAAGATGAAAGTAGTGCCATAAAGGACAATTTTCATGAGAATGTGCTTTTTAAACCCACATTTTTAATCTCTTAAAATAGAGTATTTATATGTACATATAATTCATGTTTTAGAGAAAAAAGTAGCACTGCTCACATAATTTCTATAGTTTATTGACTGTTTGAAGACCGTGTTTTAAAAAGTGCATACTGAATGAGGTTGGGGCTTTGATAACAAAGATTTTTGCATTGGGTGCCAAGTACCAAGTGCAGGCATGTATGCATATCAGTGGAAGGCACGAACAGGTTTCCTGTGTAGGAAGGAAGGAACAGAAGAGTTCGTGTAGTGTGGGAAAGGAGGGGATGAAGGAAGGTAGGAAAATCTGCTCCAGAACCAGAGTTTTTCCCTGAGGATGTGTTCCGGGGTGCTGAATCCGGGGACTTTTGACTCTGAGTGACATCCAGCGGTTTTATTATTTTGAATTTTCAAAGTAGGTATTGCTGTGGAGGTCAGGCTGAGCTTAACACTGTGTCCTCTACCTTCAGTCTCCCAGTGCAGTTGATCACAGGTGTGGGTCAGCAAGCATAACTATAAAGCAGGATCATAGTGCTTGGTTATGTTAAACAGCATCAGTTACTCATTTTAATGTCAGAAATGTTGAAGATGTTGTTCACTGGCAATGTGGGGTCCTTCTTAAATACTTCCTTGGAAACATGGTGATGCCCTAGACAAGTATTCATATTTGAGATTAGTTCTCTGTGCAATATAATTTTTAAGTGAAATTCTGCCTAGAGTCTGAAAGACAGAATCTATGACTACCATAGTTTTCTGCACCAAGGAAATGCCCCTCTCTTTTTATCAAGAGCCACTTTGAAACAGTATTTTTTTTCTGTGAATGATGTGACTCATTGTGCCCCTTATCCGAACTTCAGAATGATGGCTTATAATGGGAAACATCACCTGACTTGGACACCAGTCTTCACTTGAAACAGTTTACTGGGACTGTGCTTTGCATTTGTCAGTGTTTTGGCTATTTTGGGTGGTGCTTTGATTTTGGGCACACAGTGTTTTGTTGTAGATTTTGTTTATGCCTAGCAAACAGTACACACTTGAGTTTAAAAGAACCACTGGGAAAAGTCAAAGGTCAAACCTCAACTGATTGCATGTGCTTGTCTCTGCTCAGTACTGAGACTTTGGACAAGAGAGCAGTTTCATCCTGTGAAGATGGCTGACTATGATGTGAAGAAGCCCAGATTTAAATTTCCTGACTTTTCATGTTTTCCATGGTTACTGTCTTGGTTGGCTACTCTGGACTGCGAAGGCCCTGGGAATTTTATGTCACCTTGGAAATATGTTTAACATTCTGAGTAAGCGTTTCCTTGTGAAGGAGGGTCTTCCTCAACAGTTTCCCTTTTGTTTTTACTTTGCAGCAAGTTGCTTGTTTAAAATACAAGTTATCTCAAGGAAGTAAGAAATGCTTTTCAACATCTCACCATATGATTGTGGTGTTCTTAGTTTAAAAGTGACTGTAATATTGATTACATGTGAAGAAACAAATACTCAGACGTGATTATTTGCTTTTAATTTATCATAACTATGTAAAAGATCTACAGAATCATTATGGAGGTGAGGAAATCAGCTGTGTTTATCTATACTGTGTTTGATTTCATATAAATACCCACAAAGTTACCATAGGATGTAGTTTTGCAAGATCTTTAGTCCTTAAAAATGTAATGAAGCAAAATCTTGTTTACTCTCAACATTTGGAATTGGAATGAATTTACTGAGATTAATATATCCTTACTATGATAATACAAAAAATCTTTTGAATTTGGGGACATAGCTCAGCTGTACAGTACCTGCCTGACAAGTTCAAGGTCCTGAGTTCCATTCTCCTATCAAAACATAACTCTTAGCGTGTTCTTCCACACCTCAGTACTCTTTGATTTTTCTCAAGAGTTAGTATTTTATATTCAGTGTTTCTTTTTTGTCACATATGTTTTATGTATTTTGGAAATTTATGTTCTTTGGTCTTTATGCAAAATCTTTGAATTGTGGGCACAGCAAATATTTTAATCTTATTTTATTTATTTCCCATGGCTTTCATAGATTTCAATTTCTCCTTTGAATTCTGCCAAACAGACAGATAAATAAGGAGTAAAATGTGTTCATTACATATAATCTCCATTTACATTTTTTCCAAAAAAATAAATTCAGTTTTTAAAATGCTTCTTATGTGCAATATAAGAAAGAATGTCTCAATTATATGAAAGATCAGATTTGAAAAGAGGTATAATCTATTGTCTGTCACAACCCTTAATCAGATACTTTTCGGTCTCCTTGTTTTGGAAATTGTGATTTGGAGGCTACTACTATGAGCTTCACTTTAGAAACATTCTGCAACTACAACTTCTATGACTCTATTCGGCAACAAGTACTTCTGTTTTACTGGGACTGTAGCAGAAAGAAGCAACCTAGACATGGGAGTTTTTATTTGAAGGAACAATCTCAATTTAGCTTTTATAAGAGGAGTTCAAGTTCTCAGGGTATGAGTATGAAACTTTTTCAGAAAATATGTATGTGATTCTTTAGGAGGCAGTGACTTGGGAAGATGTAATCGTGAACTTCACCAAGGAGGAGTGGGCTGTGCTGAATCTATCCCAAAAGAAGCTCTACAGAGATGTGATGACGGAAACATTGATGAATATAAATGCTGTAGGTAAGGATGATATCATATTCTCATATACTCAGTGGAGAGTTGTGGTTCATTCTGATGTGTACAGATTCATTAAATAGAACATGAAAACATTTTGAACAGTATCTCAGTCCTGTTAGCATTATACAATGAATCTGCTATCCGCCAATTTTTATATAATGATATAGTGACTGTATTTCTTTGGCTACATTTCAGGAAGGACTTGGGACAGCCAGCAAATGGAAGAGGAACTCAGAAATTGTTCAAGAAAGCTGGGGTAATTTGCATTTGTAAGGAAAAGCAGTACTTCTCAAGAGGATGTGTGATCAGAAATATTTCAAGAAATCTTTACAAATGAGATCATATTTAAATTTATTTAATAGCATAGTTTTTACTGATACACATATAGGTTGATGTTATGTCATCTAATAATTGAATGCAAAGATATTCCATATCAGGAAACTAAGTCAGTAGTAACATGCAACAAGAGACAGTATCTCATACATTAGTATAAAAACATTTTTTTCATGATCCACAAGAAAATGTACAAAATTGCATTTAGGTTTTATATATAGGCAATATGAAAAGAATAAATCTTAAACTTTGGCAGGAAGTCATATATCTTAGATACATTAAATAAACAGTTGCTTACCGGGAAGCAACATTCAATATGCATACAAATGCTAGTATATTAATAGATGCTAGAAACATCCTCATCCTAGAGGATTATGATCCTTCATGTTTTAAAATTCTTACAAATGCCATAATGCATTATTGTTAGGAATATAAGACAATCATTTTTATATTCAATTTATATGTATCTTAAAGTAAAACTTGAAGTTTGCATTTTATCCAATCAAAACTCCTAATGCGTATTCTGAAAGCATTTTAATGTATGATATCTTAGTTGTATATGCATACTTATGCTCAAAGCAGGATCTACATGGGTATTCACAGTAGGTGATTTCTGGAAATAATTCACAATATGTAAGCTCTGGTAAGAATCTAGGTGTCTATCACTGTGTTCTTTGGAAGTGGGGAGGTGGCATAGGCTCAACATTGTTTAGCCTTCTTATACTGAGCACTCTGGTAAGCTGAGCCTGCAAGGTGACTGCATGAAGTTCACCTTGATATCAGATGAGTGATCAATGAGAATTTCTCTCAAGAAGTGAAAAAGCTAGAAATGTATTTCATTTCAGACCCTTCTTTATTTCTCAGCACTAAAGAAATATAAAAAATTTTAAAAATAATGCTATACATTATTTTTATTCATGCATGAAACAAGAAATATATAACTTCTGTTAAAAGAAAAAAAGATTCTATCTCACAATGTTAAATGCAAGAAATGAGACGCACAGAGTGAGTTATCAAGTGTTGCCTGTTATACGATAAAGTAAAACATAAATTAGGGAGCAAAATTAAGTGATAGAAAGGGAGAATATTGAGGTAAGACTCTCAAAATGATCAGTATATTATGCACATATTAAAGACTTAAACAAAACTTGATCTTATTTAATACAAAACCACACTAATTTAAAATTTCCAATGAATATCTTCCTTTCAAAAGTGTATGTATGGGAGGCATCTCCAGGGCTTTCGGACAATTTTTTTCTGAAAATTTCTTAGCAGGCATCAAAGCAGAACTTGTGCTGCTAAGTTATTGATATGGAGATATTTTTATCATGATTAATGTTTTGTTTCTTTACAGAAATGAAGAAGTAGCAATGTGGTATCGATATAAAACTTCCAATCAACATAAAAACATACATCTTTGGACTTCAGAAGTGAATGTGGACATGAATCATTCTGCTTTAGAGGCAGTCCAAAGTCTTGTTTATGGAGAGCCCCTTTTTGGGCACTCATTAAATATGCCCATCTTACCTCATCCTGGAGAGAAACCATGTAAGTATTGGAGATTTGATGACAAGCCGATTAAATATAATGAACATGGAGAACCTTGCAGTGAATTTCAGTCTTTTCAAAAGCATGCAAGGCCAAAGAATGGAGAGAAACACTATAAACATGAGCAATGCATGAAATCCTACTCTGAATTTAGTGAAAGAACTCGCTCTGAAGAAAAGACAATTGTTGAACAGGAAAATGTGAAGGCCTCCAGCACCCCCAGTGGCTTTCAAATCCATGAAAGTACTCACACTGGGAAGAAACCAAATATTAGCAAGCAATATGAAAAAAGCTTCAACACTGAAAGTTGTAAAATTCTTGAAAGGATTCATGTGGAGGAGAAACGTTATGTGTGCAAGCAATGTGGGAAGACATTCACTACACAGCAGTCTTATCAATTACATGAAAAAGGTCACAGTCGGATAAAACCTTACCTGTGCAAGCATTGTGGAAAAGCATTCACTACAAAGAGTTATTCAAAAATTCATGAAAGAATCCACACAGGACTGAAACCCTATGTGTGCAACCACTGTGGAAAGGCATTTAGTACACACAGTGAATGTCAAAGACATAAAAGATTCCATACTGGGGAGAAATGTTATGTGTGCAAACAATGTGGGAAGGCATTCACTACACAAAATCATTGTCAAAGACATGAAAGAACTCACACAGGTGAGAAACCTTATCTGTGCAAGCAATGTGAGAAGGCATTCACTACACCTTACGCTTGTCAACGACATGAAAGAAGTCACACTGGAGTGAAACCTTACATGTGCAAGCATTGTGGAAAGGCATTCACTGCACATGAAGATTGTCAAAGACATGAAAGAACTCACACTGGGGAGAAACTTTATATGTGTACACACTGTGGGAAGACATTCACTACACAGCAGTATTGTCAAGAGCATGAAAGAATTCACACTGGGGAGAAACCTTATATGTGCAAGCAATGTGGGAAGACATTTACAACACACCGGTCTTGTCATGTACATGAAAGAACTCACAGTGGGTTGAAACCTTATGTGTGCAAACAGTGTGGAAAAGCATTCACTAGAAAGAGTTATTCAAAAATCCATGAAAGAATTCACACAGGACTAAAACCTTATGTGTGTAACCACTGTGAAAAGACATTTAGTACACACAGTGAGTGTCAAAGACATAAAACAGTCCACACTGGGGAGAAACATTATATGTGCAAACAATGTGGGAAGACATTCACCACACATGATCGTTGTCAAAGACATGAAAGAACTCACACAGGGGAGAAACCTTATGGGTGCAAGCAATGTAAGAAGGCATTCACTACACATTATGCTTGTCAACAACATGAAAGAAATCACACTGGAGTGAAACCTTATCGGTGCAAACAGTGTGGAAAAGCATTCACTACAAAGAAGTATTCCAAACTGCATGAACAAATTCACACAGGACAGAATCCTTATGTGTGTAAGCATTGTGGAAAGGCATTCACTACACACAAAGATTGCCAAAGACATGAAAGAACTCACACTGGTGAGAAACTTTATATGTGCACACAATGTGGGAAGACATTTACTACACAACGGTATTGTCAAGAGCATGAAAGAAATCATGCTGGGGAGAAACCTTATGTGTGCAAGCAATGTGGGAAGGCATTTACTACACACCAGTCTTGTCAAAGACATGAAACAAGTCACACTGGGGAGAAACCTTATGTGTGCAAGCAGTGTGGAAAGGCGTTTACTACACATTGGTATTGTGAAATTCATGAAAGAACTCACACTGGAGAGAAACCTTATGTGTGCAAGCAGTGTGGCAAGGCATTTACTACAAACCAGTATTGTCAAGTACATGAAAGAAATCACTCTGGAGTGAAACCTTATGTGTGCAAGCACTGTGGAAAAGCGTTCATTACAAAGTCTCTTTGTAAAGTGCATGAAAAAATTCACAATGGAGAGAAACCTTATATGTGTAAGTTATGTGGAAAGGCATTCAGTATTAGGAAAGCTTACAAAAGACATGAAAGAAATCACACACGGGAGAGACCTTATGTATGCAAGAAATGTGGAAAGGCATTCATTAAAAACAGTAATTGTCAAAGGCATGAAAGAACTCACACTGAGGAGAAACCTTGGCAAAGATATGAAATAACTCATATAGGGGAGAAACCTTATGTGTGCAAGCAATGTGGGAAAGAATTCGCTACACACCAGTCTTGTCAAGTGCATGAAAGAGCCCACACTGGGGAATAACCTTATATGGAAATGCATTCACTAAACACCAATCTTTGTCAAATAAATGAAAGGTGTCACGCAGACAAGAAACCATGTGCATATGAGTCATTAGGAAAAAGATTTGCTAGTAATTTCTCATTATATATACATAGATTTTACCCTGAAGAGGAACCCTCTGTATATCAATATGGGGGAAGGATTCAATGAACACATTTTTTAATCAACTGCATGAAAGATTCACTGGAAATGGACCCTATTTATGTAAGGTTATTTTAAAATACTGGTAAAAATTCCTCATGTAATGGAGACCTGTACACATGTAAGTAAAAATGGGATGTCAGTATTTCTCATGGGTGTTTCAGAAAATACATTCTGAGGTGGAGATCCAGAATGTATTCTTTTTTTTTTCTTCAGGAAACTCAGTTTTGAAAAGCCAAACATCTGTAGACTTTATTAGAAGCAATATTGATATATTTTTGTGTAATTCAGTAGTTGAATCTAGCATATAGTATTTTTAATAAGATAAGATGAAATAAAATGTATTTGTCACTTCCAAATAGTATTTATGCAGGTTTGAATTTGTTTTGTTTTCACTATGTAGGGATAGTCCAATAAAAAATAAATATTAATAATTTTTCAGTGGGATCTCCTACTAGCTTTAATTTTAATTTTCTTGATGTGATACCTCATATTCTATATATAAAAGTTAACTTTGGGGCTAGGGATTTAGCTCAGCAGTATAAGTGCCTGCCTTGCAAGTGTGGTTGTGAGTTTGATCCCCAGTACCGATGGAAAAAAAAACAACAAAAAAAGTTAATTTGTTGATATGTATGAGTATTTGGAGATGTAACCATTTTTTATTGTTTTTTGGTACCAGGGATGATGTTGCACTTGCCAGGCAGGTGATTGTGCTGCTGAGCTAAACCCCCAGCCCTCTAAGCGTGTATTTTTAAAAATTCATTTTTTTTTTACGTACAAGTTGTGGATCACTAAATGTATTTTTCATGTCCTAACTAGATACCTGCTTATATCCCAACACAATTATATAAAGCACACCAGTTCACCTATTTTGTTTTCATGTTGATACCAGTATCATGATTTATAGAAAATGTTTTTTACCATCAACATTTTACATTTCATGCTTATACTGTTATAACTTGAGTTTGAAGGTTATTTTACCACAATTTATACAGTAAATGATACTGCTATGTGTTTGTGCTTGAGACACATGAGATGGACTACACTCTGTGTAATAAAGGGTATCATGAACTGTAATAGTTTATCAGTCACCGCTTCCTAGAGAAGCAGTTTTAATGTAGATATGCCATTATATAAGCATGTACAAAGCGTCTTGCAATGTCAGCACACACACTCAGATGTGGAAGAGTGCAGTTTGTCTGTGCACTGGATATCCAAGCAATCCAGTTCTGGTCCTGAAGCCCACTATTCTGCCCCCCAGAGATCAAAGTGTCTGTTCCAGAAGACCGAGTGGTCTGTCCCACAGGCTAAAAAGTCAGTACTGGGAGCCAGGAGATGGCTTCCAATGTGACAGTGAACACTGGAGTTCCTCCACAAAAACATGGGACGCGTTTGTTGCTTTTTATGACATTCTGGCAACAATCTTTTCTAGAGTAGATCTTCCACATCCATAGTTTGCTTGGCAAAAGTTGGGCATCTAGTCTCAGCTTGATACATTTTACTGCCACTAACCATACCCTGACAAAATCACAGCTACATACATTTCTTTAAAGAATAGTATTCATATACAAAGATGAGTCCATAATTATACTGAACATGACTGTTCTGCTTACAAAAGGAAATGCACTAACTCTCCTGTCCATAATAGAAGGGAAGTTTTCTGTTTTTAATCCTCTAGCATTTCATAATTTGAACACTATAACAGGTTAAATAAGACATAACCAATATTAACATTGTCCACATATTACATTGGAAGATGTTGGGAGAGAACTATTACAGTTCTCATTTCTGTAGCTGATTTTGGTGCCATAACTTGTATTTAGAATTACTTTTAAGATCCATTCGGCATTTCCTATCTTTGAAAAGCAACTCAGTTGGCCTTGGTCCTTTCCAAGGACCAAGATATGAGGACCCTTCCTTCATTCCTTAAGTTTCTGATCCATAGGACATTCTGCTTGGATTGGATAGTTACAATTTCCTGTTGACTTTAATAACAGCATAGCAATATAAAGAACACCCTACAATCTCCTGTACTCCAAGTATAGTTTCTTTTCCACATTCTAGAGGACCAGTCTAATTTTCCTTGAGAGTCTAGGTCAGTCATCTCTGTAACCACTGTAACTCCCTTTTTAGTTTATTTCCTCAGAGTCATGAGGTCAAAATGACCAGGGGGGAAGTCTTCACTTCAGTATTGCTGTGTTTCCTGTTGCAAATCTTCCCCCTGTTCAACTAAGACTTCGTTGTTCTCCAACAGAACGTAAGGTCATGAGAACAAGTTTCACTAATAAGACCACTATGAGTAACTGTGTTGTACCACCTGTACTTCTACCCCTTCATTCCTAGACCCACAGATCCTGGTTTTGAGAGACACGGTACCTTATCGTGGATGCTTACTGACAGGTTAAACACAGCTTTTGATTATCGTTGCCTAGCCCTGGAAGCTAACACTACCTAAAAAGTACTGCAATTGTGACTTTAAAAGATCATTCCAATTTTCAATTAATCCAACTGCTTCTGGATGCTGAGGACAAGACCAGTGAATTCCATGAGAATGAGGTCTGTCACCTCACTTCTTTGGGCATCAAGTATATTCGCTGTCAAATCAATGCTGTAGAATTTCAGAATTGTGGAAAAGGCATTATGTGAATCCATGGATGGGAGTTTTGCAAGAGGCATGACATGTAGGATAGGTAAACCAATATCCAGTAAAAGTATCTATTTGAGTAAGGACAAATTACATCCCTTCCAGGATGGAAACAATTCAATATAATCAAACTGCCACCTGGTTGAAGGCAACACAGGCAGTAGTGTCATACTGTGGAAAAATGCTGATCTGTGCTGCTGGCATATGGGGCTTACAGCAGTGACTATAACTAGAACACCCTTCATGAATGGGAGTCCACGTCACTGAGCGTGGATAACCTCCATTCCTGCCAACATGCCCACTCTGCTCTGAGCCCATTGTGCAGAGAGAGGGGTAACTGAAGTGACAAGTTGACTACAATTTACAGAACTGGTTAGCATATTCAACTGGTTGTGAAAGTCCTCTTCAGCTGAAACCACATTTGGTGAGCATTTATATGATATACAAATATATTTATATCCCTTGCCTATATTGATAGGACTGTCGACATCCTTCATTCCCAAATGTATTTGTCAGCGATTTTCTACTTAATTCCTCCATATTCTGGATACTCCACTAGACCATTAGCCACAGCCCATGAATCACCATAGTTTCATCTTGCCATTTTTCCGCGAAGGCAACATGTACTACCCAGTACACTGCCCAGAGCCAGGAGATAATGTCTACTATGAAGATTTCACGTCAGCAGTGTCAGACAGATATCCTGGAAAGTGGTTGTAATGCTGCACCACATGCAGGTGGTGTTTGTATAACATGCAGAACCAGCCATAACTAGTAGCTAGCCTTTTTTTTTTTTACTCTAACATCTGAATTTATGTTAAAATCTATAAGGCCATATGAGCAAGTTGGGAACAGAAGGCGCTATAGCAGGTGTAGGAACATGGGCATTGGAGGAACATCTTTATTGTAACTTACATGTACCTTTTAGACCTACTGTGTCTCCATTATGTAATCAGTTTCCTTTTAATGATAGATTGTTACTGTGCAATACCAAGGTATGACTTGGTAGACTAAAGAATAGTGAGCTGATCAATAGAGAAATTTCTTTCCATGGCAAAATAATCCCCTGAGAGTCTAGATATGTAACAGCCAAATAGATCTACCGTATTGTTTTAAACATTTTACAGCCAGGACTATGACTATTCCCCACAGTACTAGAAAGACAGACTGCTGTCTTTAGATCTCATCAAATTAGAGAACCAACACCAGGAATCCCTAAGTCAGTTAAGGAACTAGATTTTTGCAATGGTCCTTCTCTAGAGTCACTCTCAATAGTAAAATCTGTATCAGTCAGTATTATAGAGAAACAGCTTTAATAGAAGGCATACAAATATATTTCAAAGACTGGCATACAGTAGTCTCTCATACAGATGTGGAAGAGTGCAAAAACTCTGTCCATCAGCTGGAGATTGGCATCTTCTTGTGAAATGTCAGAGCACACTGTGTTTTGTCCAAGATCTTATCAGGAGGATCAATTGTGTTTGCCAGATGAATGAATGATCTGTGCTATAGTATTAAGAGTCTGCAGTGGAAGCCAAGAGATAATGTCCATTGGGAAAGTGAAAACTGGAGTTCTGGTGAAGAGAAAGAATGTTTTCTTTTTGTTTCTCTTTTATTTCTTTCTGGTAACAGTCTCCCTTATCGTGGGTTCTACACATAGAAGTATGCCTTTTCAATTTTGGTCAGCATTTCTGATGTTGACACACTTAGTTAACTACATCAAGTAATCTTGAAAATGTACAAATAATGGTGTGATTTTATCAGTAACAACAGTGACAAAGAAATCTTGTCAATAGTTGGTTTTTTTAGGGAGAATTATTGTTATTGGATATCATGAAGCAAATGCCTTAATTCTATGCCCTGATGGAGGTTATGTCATTATTTTTGTATTTATTATTGTAATCTTTTGTCTTCCAGTCTTGCTTCTAAACCTGTCTCATCTTGAATTTCTGTATTCTCACTTAGCTGCACTTAAAATTTATCCTTTGAGGGTAATATGACCATATTGAGGCAATATTACTGAACATATTTTTCGGGCAGATTTTAGATTTTGTTATAGAGCTACAAATCTTGTTCATATGGTTACAGGTGACAAATAGTTATTACTATTGTCACTTTCTAGGATATGTCTGATATTCTTCTTACTCATTGTTGTACTTTAATTGTTCTAATCAGTTGTTTTTCTGTGCCCAAACTGAGTGTGCCTGGGATTATAAGAAATACTGTAGGTGAGTGCAGAAGAAGTAGGTGCTAGGCAAACTATGCATAAATTTCTCATTTCCGGTAAATGGAAGAGGTAGGATTTTGCCACATACTTAAAATCCAAGAGCCAGCTACGGATGGAAGACATCTCCAAAAAGTCTTCAGTACTTAAGGGTTCTTGATACTACCTGTAATAGTATCAAACACAAACAATTTTCAAGCATCATTTCAGGAATTAAACTTTAAAAAGTAGAAAATGAAATGACACAGATGAAACTTGCAAGCTCAGACTTCCATCTTACCAAATAAGAACCCAGGAGGCAGTGAGCTAAACCAGTTCAAAACCCACCCACCTTGACTCTGAAATGGTAACAGCAAAATAAAGCAAATGAGTAAGGATCAAGAAAAAAATCAAATCAGAAATAGCTTGTCACTTAACTCTGAGATGATGACCATTACCTAGGGTCATGGTTAGTGAATCTAGTGAAGCCCAAGATTTAAAAATAAAAAACAACACCAAACAAAAAACCTTAATAAAAGTGATGGAAACCATGAATGCAATCAAATATGTACCCAGATTTAAAATTCTACTGAATATATATGCAAAAGAATATACTAATGTGAGGACAGAATATCAAATATAGAGGATAGGATTGAGATTAGTGATCACAAAAAGACATTTCTTAAAAACAAAGGGATCACAAAAAATCAAATATCTGCAAGCTATCACAAAGAGCAACATAAGATGGATCAGAATCAATAGAACAGCAAGAGAATGCAATTGACATAAAAAACCTGTTTGGGGAAGTGATAACGAAAATTTCCCAAGCATGGAAAAAGAATTTGACGTACAGATATGTGAGGCATATAGAGAGCAACAGTTATCCAAGACTGAAACAAAGCTACACAAATGCATATCATAGTCAAGATTTCAGATCCATATGTGTTAGCACATAGCTGTGACCCCAGCATTCAGGAATGTGAGGCAAGAGAATTACTGTGATTTTTAAGCCAGCCCAAACTGCAGAGTAAAACACTGTCTGAAAAAGACAAAAAAAAAAAAAAAAAAATCAAGAAATTCGGCACAGGAATAGGACATTAAAATCTGGTTAAAAAATAAATCTATAAACAAACCCATCAAAATCATGGCAAACATTTTACAACAACCCATTACTCAAGGGAGCGTCCAGTGAAGTATCTTAACTCTTAAATCAATAACTAACACAAATTGATTTATCCCACAAAACTTTCAAAACTACTAGAGAAAAGGATTATTTCCATGAAAAAGAAAAACTGCAGGACATTATGACAATGAAGACAACAACACAAAATATTTTAAGATTATTTTAGAAGATTAAAAAAGACTACACTTCACTGAACAACAATGGAACAAATTTACCAGGTAAACTTGTGACTAAAACAAATAAGTAAACAGAGGTGAAAGAAAAGGAATTGACAATAGAAAAATAATATGGCAAGTGTTAGTCAATACATATCAGTTTTAATCATTAATATAAATCCTGTCAATTACCAGTCAAAAGAAAAAAATCACAATAGATCAAGAAACAAGATTCAAGAATATGCTGTGCTGCTAGTGTGGTGGCACATGCCTGTAATCCCAGCACTTGGGAGGCTGAGGCAAGAGGATCATTGCAAATTCGAGACCATCCTGTGCTACAAAGAGCTCAAGGCCAGATTGAATCTGCATAGTGAGACCCTCCCTCAAAAAGAAAAAAAATATATGCTACAGAAAGAAACACATTTAGCTAGAAAAAATTTACAGACTGAAAATAAAAGAATGAAAAAGAGTACTTCAAGGAACAGGAACAAGAAAAAAAAAGTAAAAGTCCTATTACATTTGCAGACTATGTGAAGTTTAAGCCAAGACTGATCAAGAGCAACACAGAAGGTCATTTCATACTTGTTAAGGAAAAACTCAGATATAACAATGATAAAAATATATACACTGAATACCAGTACAAGCAACTATAAAAAAACAAATGTTTACAGACATGATAAATACAATAGGTACTAACACAATTGTTATGGGAGACTTTAACTTTCTCTTCCTGATTTGTATACTGAGTTAACATACTGAAAAGTATGAGATGCCATGAAAGCAGTTCTATCAGAGAAAACTATCTCCATAAATTCATACATAAGGAAAAGTGAGGGAGCTCAAATAACCTAATGTTGAAACTCAAGCTTCAAGAAGAAGGAGAAGGAGAAGGAGGAGGAGAAGAAGAAGGCAGAAGAAGAAGGAAGAAGAAAGAAAGAAAGAAAGAAAGAGAAAGAAAGAGAGAAAGAAAAAAGAAAACAAAAGAAAGAGAAAGAAAGGAAGAAGGAGGTGGGGGTTGAGGAAGAATAAAGGAGGAGGAGGATTCATTCCATGGATGCAGGAATGATTTAACATACACAAAATAATAAATATAATGTGCAATATCATCAGAACCAAGGGAAAAAACATATGATCATCTCAATAGGTTGCAGAAAAATCATTTGAAATAGACCAATGCTTATTCATGATTTTTTAAAAAGCCCTACAAAAATTAGAAGACATACTGTTTATCTTAATCTGCCATTAATGACAAACCAACAGCAAATATCTTATTAAATGGATAATACATACAGCTTTCACTCTAAAATCAGGGACAAAATAAGATCATCCCTATCACCAGTACTATGCAGTATAATTCTGGAGGTATTAAGAGCAATTAGACAAACAAGAGAAAGAAAAAGAGTAAGGTACAAAAATGAAGTGGTTAAGCTATCATTATTCACAGACGACATGATATTCTACATAGAAAACTACCAAAAACTCCTAGAATAACCAAACTCAATAGCATAGCTGGATACAAAGTGAACATTCCAGAATCAATAGCATTCTTGTACACATACAAGAAACACAGAAATTAGAGAAGCGACACCCCTCACAATAACATCCAAGAAATAAAATACTTGGGAATCAATCTAAAAATGGAAGTAAAAGATTTATACATTGAAAATTATTAGACTCTGTAAAAAGAGATCAAAGAGGAATTCAGAAAAGGGAAAGCTGTCCCTAGCTAATGCATAGGAAGAGCCAACATTTTGCAAATGGTTCAGAATTACTCTCAAAACTGTTGTACAGACTTAATGCAATCCTGATCAAAATCTCAATAGCATACCTCACAAATCTAGAGAAAATATTCCTAAAATACAATTGGAACCAGAAGAGACCTAGAACAACAAAGGCAATACTGGACATTAAAGGCAAGGTAGAAGACATTACAATACCTGATTTGAAATTACATGTTGTAGTCTGGGGTTGTACACAGAGAACAATTCAGAGCAGGACATGGAGTTTATAATATTTTTATAATGGTCACCGGAAGTTAACACAGGAGAATGCAGGAAATCTATCCGCAACACAAACGACATAGATTATTTAGTCAAGAGTCTAAACCCCATGGCAATGTCCCAAATGAGTCCAGATAAAAACCCAGAGCTCAGAACAACGCCTCCACGAGTCCAACTGGAAGTCCAGAGCCCACAAGAAGGACTCACGCCAGTCTCTTTTACAGATTCGTGCCGGGAAGAACCAATGGTCAGCGGTAGAATCTAGAAAGTCTATGCCAGCAGGATGAAGGAGCTGTGCTAGTGGGATGAGGGTTCTACACTGGAGCCGAAAAGTCACACTCACAACAAAGAGTGGGGCTGTCCTGAAAGGAACCGGAGCTGTCCTCAGCGACATGGAGGCCCCGAGCTCCTCCTCCGACAAGCACAGTCGGGAATGTGCCAGGAAGCAGCGTGAGGAGTTCATCCTGGAGACCAGGCAGCACATGTCTTCCCCTCCGAAAGCCAGGAAACAATGCTCGATGTGAGGACCAAAGCTTCTCCAGGAGAACCAACAGCTCAGACAGTAACTCGTAGGAGAACCAACAATGCCTCCATAACGCCTCAATCCCTCTCCACACCTCTCTTCTTCTCCACTATTTATCCTGGCAACCCTTCTCAGGTGGTGCATCTTCTCTCAATGCATGCTGATGTAATCCAGCTGGCGTTAAGTTGACCACTAGTTATCCAACCATAACATTATACATCAAAGCTACTGTGATACAATCAGCATGGTACTGGGGAAAAATCCTGAACAGAAGGTACCAAAACAAATACAAACATGCTAAATCCTTTTATCTTTGAAAAATGGGCCAACCATTATCACTTGAAAAAGAAAGTCTCTTTACTAAGTGGTGCTGAAAAAAATCAATTTCCACATGCTGCAGATTTAAACCAGACCAATGGCTATCACTGCTCACTAAACAAAAGTCAAACTGGATCAAATATCTAAATATTAAGACAGAAACACTAAATCTACTTTTAAGATAAAGTAGGTAGAAATTTCAGAGGCATAGGGGTAGGCAGAAAGTTCATGAATAAAAACTCAAACTACATGGAAATTACTTCAAAGAATCATCAACTGAGATGTCATCTTATATTAAGAAGGTGTTGCACATTAAAAGAAATCTTCAATAGACCAAAAAGAAACTCACAGATTGAGAAAAGATTTTTTCCAACTGTCCTTCAAATAAAGAACTTCTATGTACAATGTATGTAGAACTGGGAAAAAAACATGCCCACAAAATTCAAAATCCCAGCCCAAAAATGGGCATCTGAGATGCATACACAATTCTCAGATGAAGAAATATAAATCTAAAAAAAGTTCAGCATCATTATTCATTCAAAAAATGCCAATTAAAACATTTCATCTAACTCCAGAAATAATAGGTAGCATCAAGAAATCAACATATAAAAAATGGTGGAAGGCCTATGGGGAAAAAGAATCCTTTTCCACATTTAGTGGGAATGTAGACTGGTACAACCACTGTGGAAATCAGTGTGAAGATTCCTTAAAAACTATAATTAGAGGTTCAATTTGACCCAGCTATTCCCCTTCTAGATATTTACCCAGAAAAATTAAAAACAGCATACCACAATGATATGTGTGCACCCATGTTTATAGGAGCACAACTTGGGATATCCAGATGTTGGAAACAACCCACATGCCCATCTACTGAGGAATGGATAAAAATGATGTGGTAACTTTGCACAATGTAATACTACTCAGTTATAAGGAAGGCCATCCTTGAGGGTTTATACATAAATAGATTCAACTATTGACCATGCTCCTAAGTGAAATAAATCAGACTCA